TTCATCTTGATGGCAGAGCTTCCAATTTTTGTTTATTGGTTTTGATTTCTGCACTTCACTTTATAATTTATAGTAATTATTTTTGGATTTTATTTGTATATTACCCTGTCATTATCAAGTAGTAACCATTTTGCTTCTTTTCCATTTGTAATCTTTTCTATTTTTTGTTTAATTTCCTGGCTGAGACTTCCAGTACTTTGTTGGAAACTAGTGGTGACAGTGAATATCCTAGCCTTGTTCTTGATCTTATGGGAAATGGTTTCAGTATTCATCATTGAATATTATTTTACCTATGGTTTTGTCATATCTGACCTTTACTATGTGAGAGAAGTTTCTTTTGTTACCATTTTATTGATTTTTGTCATAAATGTGTATGAATCTTGTGAAATTATTTTTCACTATTTATCGAAATGATTACATTATATATTTTTTATTTTTGCATAAAAAGACTGGGGCCAAGGGTATGGGGCAGGGTGTGTGTGAGAGAATTCACAGGCTGAGTGGGAAGCAGAGCAGATGGATTTACTGATATACACTGCTAAGGGGAACAGTAGGTGAGACAGAAGAGGTCTGCTGTGCCATATGTGGGTTAGTTCCCTGGCTGGGGATTGAACTCAGGCTGTAGTGGTGATAGTGCTAAGACTTAACCCCCAGGACACCAGGGCAACCCTGATCACATGAGTTTTATCTTTCATTTTGTTGATGTGGTGAATGGCATTGATTGATTTATATATGTTGAATGATCCTTACACCCAAAAGGATCATGATGCATGATTCTCTTAATATTTACTTGTATATGACTTGTAAAATTTTGTTGAGGATTTTGGAGCTTTGTTCATCAGCAATATCAATGTACAGGTTTTGTGTGTGTGTGGTCTTCATCTAGATTTGGTATTATGGTAATGTTGACCTCATAAAATGTGTTTTGGAGTGTCTACCCCTCAGTTTTTTGGAAGAGTGCAAGAAGGATAGGTATTAGAATTTGGAAGTTTTGTGGAATTCATTATCAAGCCATCTAGTCCAGGATTATTGTTTTTAGTGAGTTTTTTGGTTATTGTTTTGGTTTCAGTATTTGTATTTGTCAGTTCAAGATGTGTATATACTCCTAGTCCAGTATCTGAAAGTTGTTTGGTTCTAAAAATTTATCCATGTTTTTTTTTCTAGGTTGTACTGGATATTTGCATATAGTTGTTCATTTTAGCCTCATATAATCCCTTGTATTTCTTTGATATGTGTTGCAGCTTTGTCTCTTCATTGCTGATTTTTCATTTGGGTTTTCTCCAGTTTTTTTTTTTAAGTTATCATAGATAAAGTTTTATCACTTTATTTGGTAATTTCAAATAACTAGATTTTGGTTTCATTGATTCCTTGTATCAACTAATTGTATTATGTATTTAAGTGCATGTGTTTGGGTGTGTACATATTAGTGATGATTCTTGATGATTTGTCCCCTTGATTATTATATTGTGTCCATTTTTGTCCCTAATTACATTTTTTAGCTTAAAGTATAATTTATCAAACTTGGCTTGATATACCTTGTTTCAGGCTTTAGGTTTAAGTATATATTTGTCTTTGAATTAAATGTAAGTCTCTTTGTGTACAACATAGTTGGATCCCATGATTTCTTGTCCAACCACAATTTTGTGTCTTTTGATTGGTCAATTCAGACCATTCACTTAGGTTGCTTATGGGGCTTAGTTGTTGCCTTTTTATTTGCTTTCTGGTTGTTTTGTTTTACTCTTGTTTCTATTTGAATCTACTGGATAGTTTTCCACAGGGTTCTCTCAATTTCTTCTTCAAAGTGTGTCTGCTCCATATTTTTGTTTTGTTATTACCATGATGCTTGTATCAATCTGTCTATAGCTACAGTAGTCTTTGGGTATTGGTGTCAGCTCATCATTTGAAAAAATACTGATAATTTCTATCTTCTCTTTTATTGTTTAGTTATTTGATTTCATCCTTTTGATATTTCTGATTTTTTGTTAATATTAATCACTCTGCTTAATATTTTGTGTTCTTTTTATTTATTTTTTTTTGGTCAAGCAGCACCTACTGTCATAATGCACCTGGTGGGTAATGAGGTGGTCCCTTGTGGTAAGTTGATGTAGATAGATGAGATATTTTGCTTTAATCAGGATGCCTTTAAGAATATATTTTTCTGTTCTGGTTCCAATACCATGCAGTTTTGATTATTATGGCTTTGTAGTATAGTTTGAAATCTGGGAGAGTGATGCCTCCATTTCCTTCTTTTTTTTCAGGAGGGTTTTGGCTATTCGGGGTTTTTGGTGGCTCCATATGAATTTCATCAATATATTCTCTGTTTCTTTGAAGAATGACATTGAAATTTTAATTAGAATAGCATAGAATCTGTAGAGTGCTTTTGGTAGCATGGCCACTTTGATAATGTTAATTCTTCCGATCCATGAGCAGGGGATGTCTTTCCATTTCTTTGTGTCTACTTCTATTTCTTTTCACAGTGTTTTATAGTTTTCTTTGTATAGGTCCTTTACTTCTTTTGCTAGGTTTATTCCTAAGTATTTGATTTTTTGTTTCAATAATAAAAGGAATGGTGTTCTTGATTTCTTCTTCTTCAGATTTATTGTTTGTGTATAGGAAGGCTACTCACTTTTGCATGTTGATTTTGTATCCTGCCACTTTACTAAACTGATTGATTAGTTGAATTAGTTTTTCTGTGGAGTTTTTGGGGTTCTCTATGTATATTATCATATCATCTGCAAATAGTGATAGTTTGACTTCTTCTTTTCCTATTTGGATTCCTTGTATGTCTTTCTCTTGTATTATTGCTCTGGCTAGGACTTCCAGTATTATGTTGAAAAGCAGACACATGGACCAATGGAACTGAATAGAAATCTTAGAAATAAACCCACAGATTTATGGTCAACTAATCTTTGACAAAGAAGCAAAGAATATGCACTGGAGCAAAGAAAGTCTGTTCAATAAATGGTGCTGGGAAAACTGGGTCACTACATGCAAAAGAATGAAGCTTGACTACTACCTCACACCATGCACAAAAATCAAATCAAAATGGATTAAAGAACTAGATATAAGACCTGAAACCATAAAATATATAGATGGAAATATAGGCAAAACATTACATGACATGCACCTCAAAGATATCTTTACAGACGCATCACCTAAAACAGTAATAGTGAAGGCAAAGATGAACAGCTGGGACCACATCAAATTAAAGAGCTTCTGCACAGCAAAAGAGACAATAACCAAAACAAAGAGAAACCCCACCAACTGGAGAAAATTTTTTCACCCATCACTAACGATAAAGGACTGATCACAAAGATCTACAAAGAGCTGATGAGACTCAACAAAAACAAAGAAAATAATCCAGGCAAAAAATGAGCAGAAGAGCTAAAAAGAAACTTCTCCAAAGAGGAAATACAAATGGCCACCAGGCATATGAAAAAATGTTCAACATAACTTGCAATCAGGGAAATGCAAATCAAAACTACAATGAGATTCCATCTTACACTAGTGGGAATGGCACATATTAAAAAAAAAACTAGGAACAACAAATGGCAAGGATGTGGAGAGAAAGGAACTCTCCTGCACTGCTGGTGGGAGTGCAAACTGGTCCAACCACTATGGAAAGCTGTGTGGAGATTCCTCAACCTACTAAAGATAGAGCTTCCATATGATCCAGCAATTCCACTACTAGGTATTTACCCAAAGAACACAGAAACATTAAATCAAAAGGGCACCTGCACCCCTATGTTTATAGCAGCACTATTTACAATATCTAAGCTTTGGAAACAACCCAAATGCCCATAAATAGATGACTGGTCAAGATGATGTGGTACATATACACCATGGAAACAAAAAGAATAACTATAAGAAAGAAAAAAATCAGAATCAACAAACAACTATGAACCAGAGACACACTGTGGTGGGGGGGGCAGGGAAAGGAGGGATTGGGGTCAAAATCAGGGGGTTGCAATTGTATGGGGAATATAAAAATAAAAAATAAATTAAAAAAACAAAAAAGTCATATTTTTTTAAAAAAAGAATATGTTTTTTCTGATCTGGCTTATTCTGCCATGATCCTCTGCGATTGGCCTCACCCAGTGCTTTGTTTCTGTCTTTCTCCCTTTCTCTATTGTCAAAGCTACATTTATACATTCAGACTGTCTGGAGTCATACCCTTTATTAAATATTTTTTAAAATATTTACAAAGGAAAATGACTCTTCCTCATGCTCTTAAATGTTGGATATCACTGTGCGATATTTATTTAATTGATCATTCATAAATAGCTTGAGTCATGTGTGTGTAATGCTACACATCATCACCATCCTGCCTCATCTACCATTAGCTAAATAAATGTATAAAATATAGAGAAATTAGACAATGTGTTGGTCAATAACAGCTGATGATGGGAGAAAGAGCAGAAGCAGGGAAATATGAAATACAGCAGAATATACTCTACAAACATGTTTTCCATATTCTGAGATCAGGGCATATTAGAGGGTAAAAATTTAATTTATTGCCACAGAATAAATTCAAATAAATGAAGCACAAAATGAAATATTAATGTATCATGCTTGATAGGTTTCCATGCAACAAATTGACCAAAAATGAATGATAACTAAGTTCTTTTCATTTCCCTTGTGCAAAAATCATAGATTTTACTCTGAAGAATAGATTGTTCCATTTGAGAAATGCAACTCACTAACACTTTAGTAAAATAGAAAATCTTGGGGTATATGTTGTTTAAAAATCATTCTTATGAAATCCTTTTCTCCAAATATTTCTGATCTCACTTGGAAAGGAATGTTGACAAGGTAGGAAAATGGATGAAGTTAAAAACTACCTATCAAAACAGAATGTGTGCTAGTGTGAGTAACTCAAATTGTATAGCCTAGTTGATTTCAAAAAACAGAAATTCCAGTAAATATAGAATGAGTAAATTCAACATTAACAATTTATGATTCCAAGGCTTTTAGTCCTCCAATCATGGGATCTTCTTCTGCTACATAACAATTGGTCCTTTTGTAGATTCCTTTCCAATGAGTTTTTTCAGAGCCTCTTTTATGTCTTTGTTCCTCAGACTGTAAATGAAGGGGTTCAACATGGGTGTGACCACAGTGTACAACACTGAGCCTGATGAACTTGAGTGTGTGTTGTCGGTGGCAGTAGAGCTAATGTACACTCCTAGGGTTGTACAATAAAATAAAAAGACAGCTGAGAGGTGAGACACACAGGTGGAAAATGCTTTATGTTTTCCCTGAGTTGATGAGATTCCATGTATAGTAGACACAATCTTCAAGTAAGAGTACAGTATACCAGCAAAAGGGCCAAAACCAAACAGCCCAGCTGCACAATATATCACTGCATCATTAAGAAAGGTATCAGAACAAGCAAGTTGAACCATCTGATTGAGTTCACAGAAAAAGTGTGGGATTTCCAGTTCTGCACAGAAGGACAGTCGCAACACCATTAAGCTTTGTAACAAGGAATGCAGTGCACTTGTCATCGAGGACACTAGGACCAGCAGTCCACACAGGTGGGGATGCATGATAACCATATAGTGTAAGGGATGGCAGATGGCCACATAGCGGTAATAGGCCATGACAGTCAGGAGAAAGTCATCCAGTACTCCAAAAAATAATGCAAAATACATCTGTGTTATGCAGCCTTCATAAGTTATGTCTTTGCTCTGTGTTTGTATATTCAATAGTATCTTAGGGATGGTTGTTGAAGTGAAATATACGTCTACAAAAGACAAGTTGGAGAGGAAGAAATACATGGGTGTGTGTAAGTGAGAGTCTGAGATTGTGGCCAGAATGATGAGTAGATTCCCAAACACAGTGATTAGGTACATGCACAGGAAAAGTCCATAAATGAGGGATTGCAGTTCTGGTTCCTTTGATAATGCCAGAAGATAAAATTTTGTAACCCATGTGTGATTGCCTGGTACCATGTGGTGATGCTTATGACTAGGAATGAAAAAAAATAGTGATTAATGTTCACACAATGGCATAGTTAACAAATTAAAATATTAGAATTTTTATGTTTCAGCCAAGAGATCTATTATCTATCTATCTATCTATCTATCTACTACCTATCTATCATCTATGTATTTATTATCTGTGTGTGTGTGTGTGTAAATCTAGTAGTCTTTAAAGGATCTTCCATATCATCTCTTATTCAGAATTTCTGTTGCACTCAGCTTTTTGCCCAAGAGGTAATGCCATTTTAAAATTTTATTACAAAATTCTTTCATATATTTGAAGGAAATAAATTTGAGTCCTTACATAATCTTGGAAAATTAACAATCAAATTCACAAAGATAGATCAACAAAATGAAAAATGAAAAACAAAGGACATTTTTAAAAGCAAGGATACTTTAAATGACCTCTGGTACAACATTAAGAAGAGTAACATTCACATTATTAGGGTCCAGAAGGTGAAGGGGGAAAAGTTCAGAAAAATATTTGAAAAAATAATGGTTGAAACATTCCCTAATTTGGTAAAGGAATCAGACATTCATGTACACAAACCCAGTGAGTTCCAAATACCAGAAATTCAAAGGGATCCAGAACAAGACACATTATCATTAATATGGTAAAATTTGAAATTTGGGGATCTTAAAAGTAGGATGAGAAAAACATTTTTTTTTTTTGCTATAAGGCTATCAGCATTTTCCAATAGACTTTATTGGTCAGAAAAGAGTGTTGTTACAGACTTGAAATGCTAAAAGGAACAACCATCCAACCAAGAATGTATTCAAAATCAAAGGAGAGATTATGAGTCTCACGGACAAGAAAAAATAAAAGTTCATTACCACTAAATTGAAGTTGCAAAGCATGTTAAAGGGCCTTCTATGAACTAAAAGGCAATGACACTAACAAATAACAAGAAAACATACAAAAGAAAAAAAAATCTCACCAGAAAAGAAAAATACCATATTAAGTAGTGAATCAATCACTTATAAACCAAGTCTGAAGAATGAAAGATAAAAGTAATAAGAGCTAACTTTAATAATTAGTGAAGGGATACATTTAATACAAGGATTCATAAAAATAAAATGTGTCAGGAGCAAAACTGTAAAGTTTCTGAATGTGATTAACTGTAAGTAGCTATCAACTCAAAGTAACTGCTATTTACTAAAGGTGTTATACCTGACCATCATGATGACCTCAAAGCAAAAACTTATGGTAAATACACAAAGGAAAAATAAGAAAGAAAGTTAATTATACCACTAAAGAAAACTATCAAACTTCAAGGAAAAAGAGAAAAAAAGAAGAGGGAACAGAGAGGAACCATGAATACAGGCAGAGGAAAAATTAACAAAAAGGCAATAAACGTTACACCTTTCTGTAATTGCCTTAAATGTAAATGGTTTAATTCACTATCCATAAGACACAGAGTACCTAAATGGATAAAAAACAAGATCCAACTATAAGTAGCATACAAAACTCACTTCAGGTGTAAGGACAGAAATAGGCTGAAGAGAAAGGGGTAAGGAAAAATTCATGCAAATGGAATAAAAAAGGGAGTTCGTACAACCATACTCATAAAAGGCAAAATAGACTTTAATATAAGGACTATAATAGAAGATTAACTATAAGAGAAGAATTAAGAAAGTGATCTCATTTACAAACATACACACACAACCACCTCCTCCCCACCCCCAACCACAGGTACAAAGCTCACAAAGGAGGTAAAGGATCTATTTGAAAAAATATATATTTTTTAAATATTTATTTATTTATTTATACAAGCACTGGGTACAGTCAGAAGCATGGGAGGGTGAGAGAATTCACCAGAGCCAGAGCGGGGAGCAGAATAGGCAGACTGATGAAGTACACTGCTGAGGGGAGCAGTGGGCACGGCAGGAGATATCTGCGCACCATGTGGGACCCTTGCCGGCAGCCGGGGATCAAAAGGCACTGTGCAGAGGCTTTGGGCAGCTTCCAAGCCCAGCGCTCAACCCATGCTCCACCGGGGAGGCCCTCGAAAAAAGTTACAAGACACTGTTTAAAAAAGTAGAAGACACAAACAAATAGAAAGAAATGCAACTTTCCAAGATTTCAAGAAGAAATAAATAACTTCAGGGGCGTCCCTGGTGGTGCACAGGTTAAACACAGCACTATCAAGCTACTGCCAGCCACTGCAGCACAAGTTTGATCCCCAGCTGGCCAGGGACCAACCCACATGGCCCATCAGACCTCTCCTGATTCACGGCTGCTCTCCTCAGCAGTGTATTTCAGTACATTGCTCTGTTCTGCTCCCCACTCTCTCTGGTGAATCCTCTCACCACCCACACCTCTGGCTTATACCCCAGTTTTTGTATGAATAAATAAACAAATCTTTAAACAAAACAAAACAATACCAAAAAAGGAATAAAAAACTTCAATAGGCCAATTACCAACAAGGATACTAAAACAATAATCAATTGTCTCCTTACAAAAACACCTAAAGAATCTACTAAAAACAGTTTGAAACACAAAATCAGTACAGGGAAGTAGCAGCCCACAAAATTAGTACTCAAAAATCAGTCGCATTCTTAAATGAAAACAATGAACTAGAAAAGGAGGTAACCAAGAAAAATACATTTATTATTGGATCAATTTTTTAATTCAAAACTTGGAAGAAAATGTGTATTTATTATTAACGATAATGAAAGAAAATCTGAGACATGGTTGTTTTACTATTAGCACTTATAGTGAATTTAAAGTCAACAAAAACAGAAATAAACTTCACACACTTGCTATTAATCATCCTTATCTAAAATAGATATTAGTGACAAATAGCCCAAGGCCATCCAGTAAGCTTGTGCGGAATAGCAGCACATTCAAAAAGCATATGGGGATCCCCGATCATGGCTGCCCAGGTCCCCATGCCTGCGACCTAGGCTTGCAGGGCAGATGCTCTGGAGCCCTCATTGAGGTGAATGTCCCTCACTGAGTAATCAAAAACCGGGCGCCTGGACATGGGAGCGGAGTGCAAAATGCATCATTTCTGCGGACACTGAACTGGGCTACAGCACACGTCCTGGATCTGAGGGCTTTGGAACTGAGACCCGGGGCACGAAATTCAGGGCGTGGGATCCCCACAATGGTGGGGCACAGGGGATACACAGCACCCCCATGCAGTTGAAGCTCTCCACGCCACTCCCACTCTGTTCCCCACGACCCAAGAGGAAAAAAAACAGTTCCCGAAGGACACTAGGAAAGTTCTCTGGCACACCTAGTGACCAGAAAAAAATCACCAACAACCTTATAGTTGGAAACCAGGGATCCACAAAACACCCTCAGGCTCTGAGAGAGGGTGGGCCATGCAAATGAGGGTAAGGAGGGAAATAAGGGGTGGCGCAAGACCCTATCCTGGAACTGAGAGCCAGGCACAGGATCTGGGGCGTGGGATGTGCCATAGCGGTGGCACTGCACAGGATGACAGCCAGCGTTTTGGATCTGATAGCCCTGGAACTGAGACCTAAAGTGCAGAATTCAGGGCGTGGGATCCATGCGGCTGTGGGTACAGCAACAGGTGAACAAGGGGCAGAGAAAGCACCCACCTTGAATAAGAGCCCCTGTGTTGAGGTGCTCCTCTCCACCCCCCTTCTGCTACTCAGAGAAGGACTGGGAAAAAGTACAGGTCAGCAAGTCTCTGGTGCCACCTCATGACCAGAACAAAATCACTAACTAGCTGATTCCCTGTTGGAACTGAGTAAATACAGAGGGAGGGAACTGTAAGAGATAGAGCCCAGCAACACAGAATCAACACCCTGGTGGAGTTTTGGCCTACCAGTGCTGGTCTCAGTCTGGTAAACAGTTGCAGAAACCCCTAAAAGAGCACTCCAAAGAGATGCCAGACAACACCAGTGGCACAACGTCCCAATGCATAGAACTAATTAGAACACAAACAACAGGGAGAAGAAAAAATATAAATAACAAAGCAAGCCCGCAGGAGGACACACCACAAAAAGAAATACAGTCACCAGAGCTCAACAATGACATGGAAGAACTTCTTGGCCTATCAGAGAATTAATGATCATCCTGATTAAATAGCAGAAAGAAAATGAAAAGGGAAAAGCTGGTTTGAGACAAATAATCACTGAACTGAAGAATGAAATTGAGACTTTAAGACAGGAAAGAAAATAAACACAGGACATTAAAAGATAACTAGAGGAGGTAAAGAACACTGGGAAAAGCAATGAAAACAGAATCGATGAAATGAAAGAACGGATCGGTACTATCAAAGATACAGAAATAAAAAGAGCCAAAAGAGAAAAGTAGAGAGAAGGGTAATTGAAGCAGTATGAGGAGACTCTGAGACAATTATCAGACTCCATGAAGAGAGGAAATGTAAGAGTTATAGGCATTCCAGAAGGCGAGGAGAGAGAAAAAGGAACTGAAAAATTATTCAAGGAAATAATTGAAGAAAACTTCCCAAGCATGAAAAAGGAGACAAACATAGATATATAAGAGCGAGAAGAACTCCCAATTACACAATGAAAAGGAAACTAAGCAAGATACCTAATAATAAAACTTGCAAGAGTCCAAGACAAGGAAAAAATAATGAAACTGGCAAGGGGGAAGAAACAGATAACTTATAAGAAAAAACCGATCAGTTTAACTTCATACTTCTCTGAAGAAACATTACAGGCAAGGAGTGAATGGAGTAACATATTCAGCAAACTTTATTTTTTTTTTATTTTATTTTTTTTTAAAGGCCAAAGTGATTTTATTTTTTATTTTTTTTTTGAAAATTTTCCCCCATATTTTCTTTTTTTTTAAATAATAAATTTTATTTTTATATTCCCCCTTACAATTGCAAACGCCCCATTCTGACCCCAGTCCTTCCCCTCCCGCCCCCCACCCCCCAAAAGTGTCTCTGGTTCATAGTTTTTTGTTGATTTTGATTTTCACTTTCTTATATTCATTTTCCTGGTCCCTTATTTAAGTTTTCTAGATT